GTAATAATATGAGACAATGCCCAGGTTATAGTAAGTCATCAATAAATGGTAGCTTTTTAAAATTATCATCATCATCATCAAGGCTTTGCTATACTAAAGTTTATGTTATTATAAAGGGAAAGGGGAACAGCTTCCCTGGTAAATAGGAAATCTAAGAAACAAAGACCCAGGGAGCTCTCGGATCTTGGCGGGTTCCAGCAGATTACCATCAAGAAGGTTATTGCAAAAACCTTACATGTAGTGGGGATATAGCAGTGGTAACAAGCTAATCTTTGGAGCAGGGACCAGAGTGAGTGTCCAGCCGAGTAAGTAGAGTGGGGCAAGGGTGGACGTTGACGACTAATTATTTCTTTTTCTCCATTATTAGTCCCTAGGAAGAATGCATATGTTTTAGAAAACGTAATCCCCACTCCTGGGAAATGGGGTCCAGGAAAAAAAAATGAATAAAAGAATAAGAAAACAGGCTGAGAGATAAAGAAAGCTAAGGCGAATTTATGTCATAAAGCACGTACTAGGTTTCATAATGTGCAATGCTCAAAGTAAATGTTGTTTTAAATGATACAGATGTTCCCAAGATATAAAGCATTTTGTGGACAACTAATTCTTCTTTGTCCAAGATGCAAAGTTGAGCCTACGTATTTTCTTCTGGAGGATCCCAAATGGTCCTATCCACCCATCCCTCGAAAATCCTCTCATCTAGCACTCAATGCTCCGGAAACATCGCTAGGCTGGGGCCTTCACAATCATGAGGCAGGTGATGGGCAAGTAGTCCTGGACCTTCCACGAGAGGATCCTAGATACCACTGCCTTGAGCACGGGTGTCTGCTCTATTGAATTCTTGGCTCCACAACCCAGGGCTCCACAGCAGGATGGAGCATGAGTAAAAGGATCGAACACACCAGTGACAAAGTCTCAATACAAAAGAGCAGAAGGTCTAACTCTAAAGAGTGTGATTCTCCTGTCTCTGTGGGAAATAAGTGCTTCTCCTATTGAAGTGGGAGGTAGGGCTAGTGAGTTTCTGTAATGGTGTCACCTGCAGTGTGAATACTGGAGGAATGACTGGAAAACTCACATTTGGGAAAGGAACCCGAGTGTCCATAATAGCTGGTGAGTCAGCCCAGGTGGCACCATTTGCAACGCCATGGGCCAATATCACTAATCCTTCCCTTCGGGAGATCGGTTATTACTGTGGTGAGGCCAACTGTGGGTGTTATGAGTAATTGTGTTACAGAAGCCTCTGTGAAGGGAAACGGCATCACTATCAATTTTGAAAGTGTGTGTTTCTCTGGGTCAAACACATTAAAATTTGACTTTAATCATCCAATGGATATTTTTAAATGCCTTTTATGTGGCCATCACTCTACGAAATGTTAGACTGAGTATGAAGAAACCTAAGATAGATTCCTGACCTGCCCTAAATAGTATAAAAACTAGCCAAAGGGGCAGAACTATTGGAAATTTAGCAGCCTGAAGAGTGTTTTAATCAATAATGATGTCAACAGGCACATTAGAGATTCGGAGGAATCGGATCCTAGCTGGAAAGTTGGCCAAATGGAGAAGATCGTATGCAGTAGAAAGGGTTCCCTGAACTTGAAGAATAGGCAAGACCTGTACAGGCAAAGAAAGGAGGGAAGAGGGTCCCAGGCACAAAGAACAGTAAGAAAGAAGGCGTGATCTTGGGAATAAACAAGGCACATGCATTTTGGCTTAAGTAAACACATCTGACGATAAAGTTGGATGGAGAGAAAGGCAAAGATATCTTCTCAAACAATGGAGAAAAGGAATACTAGAATCTTCAAGAGAATACAGACAATTAAGGCCAGGACCAGCCACTGGGAAACTGGGGATCCAATTTAGAAATGCAGACCGGATGTGAAAGTGAAAGGGACCAGCTCTTTCCATGGATGGCTCATAGTGTAGGGACCTCCCCTCTCCTTCCTCAGTGGGCTCTAAGAGGGGTCATCCCATCCCTCAGAGGAAGAGGAACCTACGGGTTTCCGTAATAGAGACAATGAAAGTGCTATGAAAATCTTGCCTACCAGATGCAATTTGGCAAAGGCACCAGAGTTTCCACTATTCCGGGTAAGTCTTCCCAGGAAGTGTCACTGCTTCCTAAAGCTCATCAGAGCCTCAATGGGACTCACAGTCAGTGTTGCTAACTCACATTTCTAGGTTCCCAGTGCCTAACTACAAAGCACGGATTCAGTGGTTTCAATCACTGCTGTGCCCCCTGGGGATCTAAAGCACTAGAGAATTGGGACATGTGCTTCTGTGGTTAGTTGTGAATTAAAATGAAAGGTTAGGATCTAGAATAGCTGAACTTCCACAATGAAAAGTTGATCCAGTCTTGCCAAGTCTACCTTCTGATATGTCATCAGGGGTAGGCTATGTTTATCTTGCTAGGGTGGAATAGGATGTCTCTCCCCCAGGGCAGATAGACCCCTAAAGACCTCCGAACTAAAAGTGACTCGTTTTTTGTTTCTAGACAAAAAATAATAATAATAATAAGGTTGCAGCAGAGATATATGGGGGTAAAAGTAAAAGGGGGCTAAAATATATATATATATCAAGTTTAGAAATGAATAGCCAGCTTCTTTGACCAAAAAGTCTAACAAGCAGAAATTTTGCAAGTCTAATGGTCACTAGCCCAAAATTGTTTTTTGAGTACCTAGTATGTGGCAGTTACTAGGGATACAGCAGTAAACCAGACACAGGCATTTGCTGTCACATCCCAGGGAGCCAATATGAAGAGCTTGTTTTAAACAAGTACTTTGGAGATGAGCTCAAAGAAGAGACTGAGATGAAGGCCAGGCGAAGAGGGTGAGCAAAAAAGAAAATCGGAAGTATGGAAGCCAGACAGGAGAAACAGCAGCAAAAACGCAGATAAAGAAGCCCAAACGGTACCCACTGGTAAAAACAGGACATAAAAGGGGCTAAAAATCACCTCAATTCTTCTGACTTCATTTATTGCTGTTTCATTTCGATCTCTCTCTAGCAAAGCTGAGCAATTGGCTGCCCTGGTGGTCACCCCCTACAGATTTAAAGGTGACTTTTAAGTCTCACGCTCAGCCCTGCCTTTCCTCAAAATCTCAGGTTCCATGGCATTGTGCTCTCCAGACCAGTGCTGTCCAATAGAACTTCCTGTGACGATAGAAATGCTCTATTAGACTGCATTGCCCAATACTGTAGCCACCAGCCCCGTGTGGCTATTGAGCTTTTAAAATGAAGTTTTAGTTCTTAATTGAATTTTAAATTTTATTTAATTTTGGTTAGTTTTAATATAAATAGCCACATGCAGCTAAAGACTACCATATTAGACAGCATGGTCTTGACCTTCTCCAGCCTGGCCCCCACTGGCTCCAGGGACTAAGTGAGTGTTTAACCAGAACTCAAATTTGAGAATCTGGCCCCCACAGCCACCCTCTCTCCCCTCTAAGGCCATACTGCATCTGGCGACACCTTATCCTCTGCCTTATTTTTGAGGCCACATTCTCTAGGCACCTTCACACCTTTCCATGCCCCCCTGCCCAGTCCCGCTGATGACTAACAAATTAATTGGAGTGTATTGGTGGTGCTAATGGCTTCTCATCTCTCCCCTCCCAGTAAAAGATTTATGTCATAGGGCCTTAACCCGCAGTGATGCCAGGACCCCAGGCACGTGGAGATTGAAAGGGAGCAGACAGAATCCTTCCGTGCCAGAACTTTAGAATTTCTTCACACGTGACCCTGCTCTGCTGCTCTAGGGGCAGCCCCACCCATGGGCAGCTCTGCCTTGACTCAGCACCCCAAAGCCATGCCAAGGGCTGATTTCCCAGGTTTCGGTCCGGCCAGATGTCTGCATTGCCAAGGCCACCCTGGCTGGCTCAGCAAGTAGGGTGTATCACTAGTCTGAGAAGCCTTGTCTGCATGGGGAGGAACTGTGGGGGCCGAGAACCACAGGGGCAGGAAGCTCAAGTCCCAACCATGCTGTAAACTCTCTGGGTGGCCGCAACTCCTCTCTGCAAACCTCTGCTTCCTCCTCTGAAAGCAGGAGGTCCGAAAGAATAAACAATGAGAGTTGCATTAAAAACATGAAATCCTACGGACATACTGAAAAATGATTCTTAGCACTGAGGAAAAGCCTCCAGCAACTCCTGCTTCCAGAGGGTGAAGAGTAGAAACCGACTGTATATTACTTGGTATCACATTATCGTGGCAATATCCTGGTAGTATCAATAGCTGCAATTACTTACATCTGTTCGATACTTTACAGTTTATTAACTATAATCTTATATGGGGAAACTCTCATCTGTTTCTCAGAAAAGCCTGGTTAGGAAGGTGGACGAGGCAACAGCTTCATTTTACAGATGAAATTCATGAGATTTAAGGGGTGGCGTAACTTGCCCAAGGCCTCGTCGTATCTAGTAAATGGTAGAGCCAGGGCTTGGACAGAGGCGTTCTGATTTATAGTCCAGATCTTTCATAGATGAGAGAAATCTCCCTGTGATGTGACCTATCTTCCAACTTAAGTTCAGCCTATTAAAAACCTCCAGTTCCGGTCAGTGCCCAGCCTAAGTGTGGGAGACCAACCCAGATGCCAAGATGTATGCTTTGCTTTTCCGGGCCTTTATTCCGTGCTGGCTTTGTCCTGCCAGAGCCCTGTTGTTGTTTACTAGGCCCACTGAGCTTTGTAAGAAGTTCCCATTAAGTAGGAGAATGAGTAGCGCCATTAAGTAGATCTTCGTTCCTGGTTTCTTTGAATGGCAGGCAGGGACAGACGGAAATCGTTCACTGAAAGCCTGGGCTCTTGGCCGGGACTCATGGCCTGTGCCTATCCCTGAATCCCAGTCTGCTGTATACAGCTGGTTTCTAGAATGTTCTTTCCCATCTAAAGCCTGAGGATGTGACCCGCCAGCCCCACAGAGCCCTGCTCTGGCCCACCACTGGCATCTGGACTCAGGCCTGGGTTGGGGCAAGGAGGGAAACGAACATCTCCTAACCCAGGTCTTTTTGGCCCACAGATATCACAGACCCCGATCCCGCCGTGTACCAGCTTAGAAACCCTAAATCCAACATTTCCGTCTGCCTATTCACCGATTTTGATTCTGAAACCAATGTGTCACAAAAGACGGGGCCCACAGTGTTCAGCACAGACAAAACCGCGCTGGACATGAGAGCCACAGGTTCCAAGAGCAACGGGGCCCTGCTCTGGAGCAACAGCAATGATTTTGAATGCCAAGGCGCCTTCAACGAGACCTTCTACTCCAGCTCAGGTGAGTGCAGCCTTGGTGCCTGTGCAAGCTGAGTCTCCTCACTTCAAGAGGCCTGGCCGTGCCCACAGCTCAGGCCAGTGGTATCTAAATGCTGCTCTGATTGGTGGTCTCAGCCTCATCAACTATCAGCAAAGCCCCCTACCCTCTTGTTACTGGGCACCAGTCAGCCCCGCCCTGGCAAGTGATAGAATATCCTAGGCAAAAAGCAGATGGGGAGAAGGTGGCAGGAGAGGGCACTGGCCCTTAGTCTCGCCCACCCCGAGTTCCCACCTCCCTGCCTCTGCTCGAGCTGTTTGCCCCTTACCGCCCTTCCAGACCCCATTCTAATGCCCTTCTCCAAGATCCCTGCCCTTGTTTCATTCTCTTGGCCAAAGATCTTTCCCAGCTCCTGACCTCACGCATTCATTCATTCAACAACCACTGATTATGCATGTACGACATGCCAGGTGCTGAAGCGGAGGAGTAAACTAGTCAGATGAGGGGTCTGCCCTCGAGAAGCTCCATTCTAACCGGGGGAGACCATCCATTGGCAAGAGGAAATCTAGATCACTTCGGATTATAATATATGCTTTAACTTGGAGTTGAGTAAATAGCCATCTTAGGGACAAAAGTCAGGGAAGAACCCTCTGGGGAAATGCTATATGATCTGAGATCTAAAGAAGTTGTCATCCATGCCAAGGGCAGAGGACCCTGCGGAGGCCTGAGACAGGAGCTTACTGAGAAAAAAGGAGAGCGGGTGGAAAGGAGATGGAAGAAGTAGGCAGGATGGAAGACGTAGGCAGAGGCCAGATCATAGGGCCTCACAGATACTATCTCTGGCTTTAAGCAGAGAAATGACATCTAATTTACTTTTTTAAAAGAGCACACTGCTGAGTGGAGAATGGCTTGTCGGAGCAAGAATGAAAGCCAAAAGGAAGGTGTTGCCGCAGAGAAACAATGGAAGCCAGGACAGGGTGGCAGCAGGGAAGCTGAGTGGTCAACACTGACTGAGATTCAAAGGTAGAACCATGTAGGAATAAGAAGGAAAAGAGGGGATCGAGGAAGGTAGCCTGAGCAGCTAAGTATTGACTGAGTAAATAGTGCCATTTACTGAGATGGAGAAAACAAAGGAACAAATTTGGAGTGCAGGGACTGAACCTTTGTGGAACACATGAAAGCATCTATAGCCCTTATGGCATTCGTCTCTGTGCGTGTCCTATTACCTCGATTGGACTCCAGCCTGGAACCTACCGCTGTGTCTGATGGCTCTTTCTGGCCTTGTGTCGTGTAACATGGACTCTGCAAAACCAGTGTTTGTTAAGTGAATGAAATGATGCCCAGAAGCCAAGGCGTTGGTCCTAATAGGGCCAGTGGCTCTCCCCAGCAGGTGCCCATATGCGACAAGCTCTCTCCACGAGGAAGCGTGGAAAGGCTGCAGACACTCACTATCCAACTCTAAGAGGTCTGGGGTGGGAGGGTCAGCACGGTCTGGACTCTATGAAAATTGCTTTGTTTCTCTTTTTAGTCTTTCCCTGTGATGCCACATTGGTTGAGAAAAGCTTTGAAACAGGTAAGAGAGGAATCTATCCCAGCTTTGCACAGATTTGGGGAGGAAATGAACCCACGATAATTCTGCCCAGGTAGGGGAGGTGGGAAGGTTTTTGTGGATCTAGAAATGAAATTATGAGAAACAGGAAGAGCAGTTAGAGCCCTGCTCAGAGGTGCCTAGAGTCATTCTTGAATTCCCGGCTTCCTCTCACCACCTCTAATTTTCTTTTCCATTCTAAGCATTTTGAGAGTGTCTCAAGTTTTAGTTGACCCCCTTCTAGGCCTCTGTATTCCTTTCGGTCACTCTATTGTCAGGAGGGACAAGGGTTTCCGGGTGGCTCAACTATGATGGGCTTATGTACAACCCTAAATTAACCCAGTCATCCTGGGGACATTTGCCCACCATTGCCAGGGGGCTTTTGCCTTCTTTCAAGAAAAGCAGCAAAACTCATGTAGGTGGTGATACTGTCTCTGAAGGATCCCCATCACTCCTCATCATCTACCCTGGGCCCATATTCACTTCCGCTTGAGCTGTTTTTATGAGTCATTCCTCTTGTGGTTCAGCCACTGGATTCCCACTAAGGGGCCCAGACTCAAGAGATCGCAATAAGTTCTGAGCACCCACCTCATCCCCATCTCCTGAGAGGCTCAGAAATAAAATAAGGACCAAGTGTAGTTAGTGTTTTCCTTTTGAAATGAAATGCCGTTGACCCCGAGGAATGTACAAAGATATTTACGAGGGAATGTGCACAGAAGCTAAAAGGGAGAAGTAGAGCCAGGAGCTGAAGCCCACCCCACCAACCCCGCCCCTGCTTTCAGCAAAGCCATTGATATGTCACAGAGCACTGTGTGGACCTCGGGCGTGCATGCTTATAACTACCGCGCCCTCTTGGTTTTGCAGACATGAACCTAAACTTCCAAAACCTGTCAGTGTTCGGGTACCGCATCCTCCTCCTGAAAGTGGTCGGGTTCAACCTGCTCATGACGCTGCGGCTGTGGTCCAGCTGAGGTGAGCGGGCGCTGCAGCTGGGAGGCGGGGTACGAGGGTCTTGGGGTGGGTCCCCAAGCTCTGCAAGCAAACCTCCGCCCAGGGTCTTCTTCTTTTTAGGCCCTAGGTCTGAGCCTACCACACTCCTCCACTTTCTCCTGTTAGGGGTTTCTCTTGTTAATAACGGGCCTGGAACGTTTGCATAACCCAACACCCTCTTCGGGTGACAAGAGCCACCTCAGTTGAGTCATGTCTCTCTTACAAAGTATGAAGAACAGTTGCTACTATCCACATTTTGGAAATGAAGAAAATGAGGCCGAGTAACATCAAGAGCCACACTCTAATGAGTGGAATAGAGACATTCAGGACCCTGACACTCGTTCGTGCTTTCTGTCATAACTTCTATCGTGCCCGCTGCTGTACCTCTTTCACCGCAAAACCTAATGAGGCTCCCAATTCCTTTCCTCACGTCCTCGGCCTCCAATACAGCGAGGAGATATTGTACTCACATTACACCCTCCTCCTGGCTAGAGTCTCCACGCCCCTTTCCCCCAGTTTCCCTGGTCATCCTCCTGACAAGCATATCCCATTCCACCACCAGCAAAAAGAACTCCAGGGTCCATTTGCTCCTAGAGCTCTACAAATGGAGGCATCTCCACCGCATCCTAACTGTCCTGGGTCTGTCTCCTCGGCGTCCAGACTGACTCTGTTTTTCCTCATCCCAGGTCACCAAGAATGCGAGAGCCGAGTGCTCCCTGCCCCCGACTCCTCACCGCCCTCCTCTGCCTCTTTCAGCAGAGAGGCACGCCCTCAGCCTCCATGAAGGAGAAGGCTCCCTCTGCAGCTCTGGCAATGCCACCAACTGGATCCTACCAGATATTTGTGATTGAGATGCTGGAGAGCTACCAAGCGCTGCTGCCACCCCTCTGTTCCCTCACTGCTGCTTGTCACTGCCTAACGTTCCCGGCAAAGGCAGGGGCTGCTGCAACCTCTCCTGGCTGTGGAGACGGCCCCTACCCCTCCCAGAGACTGCTTCTGATGTCCCACAGTGCGATGGATCCCCAGGGGCTTCTCCCAAGCTCTAGCTCCTGGAGAATGTTGTGAGGAGCTTATATTTTTTAAATAGTGTTCATAAAGAAAGACATATTACCCTTTCTCCCAAGATGTGGGGAAAACTCTCTCATTATCTAGGCCCTGCTATGCTGTGTATCCGAGCCACATTGTGTGTTCTGCTTCCACGGCTTCATTAAAAGTGATTTGGAAGATCAGAGACTGTCCTCCTGTTTGACTGGGTTTGGTCGGGGTCATTTTCGGCTCGCTGCTGATCACTAGCTAGGCAGACAGCAACCAAGGCATCTGTCCACGATGACATTCAGGACAAGCTAATTCAAGAAGCTGCTTAAGTCAAACCTCTTCCTGGAATAACCTCTTAAAAAATCCACTTAGAAGGCTGTGCTGAGGGCCAGGCAAACCCACTTGAAAGCTTGGGTCCCTGCTCTTCCGTTTTCACACCACACCGCTGGGCCACTCGTGGCAGGAAGCCCATGTACATGGGTGGTAGTGACCTGTAGCTGAAATTTGGCAGACGGGGACCACACAGCAAGTGTCCCCCAAATGCCGCCCACTGTCTCTCATCCCCCAGGAGCATTTCCTTTGCCTTTCCTTTCAGACTGGATTCCCGTCAAAACTGTGCATTGCCCCACAAATTTATGGCTGGGGACCACCTACTACTCTCCTGCCTGGGCTCCAACCCAATGTCCAGCCCCTCGGGTGCCCAGTCTAGGAGTGAAGGAGGGGAGGAGATTGTGACCGCAGACTTACATTCCCACCATCCTGGGTGTGAGGATGTGAAAAGGGGAAATGAGTTCTGTCCCCTTGAGTCCAGAGGCCAGGCCAAGGAGAGTAGATGTCTCAAGCCCTCATCTGGAGGACAGGAGGTGGGATTCCCTGAGACCCTAGGATTCTCCTGAGCCTCCTGCTGCCTGAGCACCTCTCCTAGGATCACGGATGCTGACGGGAATGCCCCTCAGAAGCCATTCAGCCATCTATTCACTATTACCGCTATCAAGACTACAGCCGAAGGCTTACCAATTCCCAAGGGTGGGAGGGCACCCTAGCCCCAAATACCTCTATGGTTCACCCATGTGTCTTTAACTACATCAGCCAGAAGCATGCAAATTTTTCCAGCTACGATTCAGGCCTGCTTCTTTTCACAGTGACAGAGCCACCAGCTCATTAGGTGACCTAGGCATGTCTCTCCCCTCCATAAGTTCCAGTTGAGACTGGAGGCTGCCTCCAGTTCTATGCATCTCTGACTTGGTAGCCTCTGTAGAACTCAGAACCACCATCCATGTCCTTGCCAACCTTACTGAGGGTACCACAGAATTCCCAGTTCTCTCTTAGCCATCTCATCTGCAGCCTAAATACAAGTCCCTTTAAAGATTACTAATAGGAAAAGTCTCAAAGGAAATCCCATCATAGCAGCTCACTCTCACAGGTAGGAGGTCAGAAACCTCCTTCCCAAAAGCGGGCTCTGCCACCTGCAGAGAACACAAAACTGCCTCCTCATTAGTCTGACACAATGCCGAAGATTTCACCATTGGGAATTTCTTCTAATTAATTCTCTTCCCCCTATTAAATGAAAATGCCCCTGGGAGGGTTAATAGAGCAAGTGTTCATCAACCATTAAAAACTTAGGGCAAATTAGTTTGTCTTTTTTTTTTTTCTCCTAAAGCGGTAATGCACTTTGGTCTGTACACGAAAGATGCAGGCAAGGGACGAGAAGTGGCCAGGGAGGCAGGTCTGCTTCTGAGAGTTGGTTGCGAAGATACTGAGGCCGAAGGGGACATGCGGGCTTGGGGCAGAGACCCTGGAAGGCAGTGAAGGGGCCAAAAAACAGACCCCCTCCAAGAACCCTGGAGGAGACCCAGACTGAGGGAGGTCAAGGGAGCCTGTGGAGTGGCACCAGCCCAGGGCCCTCAGAGGGCAGGACTCTATAGTCACTGGACCCTTAAGGCCACCCTAAGACCTAAGAGGTGATGTGGCAGCGACTGGGGAATCCACCCAGACCCATGAAGGAAGTAAGGCCCCCTCCCTCCAGGCCCAGCCCAAGCTGAGGGTGACAGGCCTTAGGCGGGTAGGAGGCCTCCTGGACATCAAGGTCAGCACTGCCCCCTGAGAAGTTTCCATCCCAAACCAGGGGGTTCCTCGATCCCAGCAAGTACCTTCCCTCAATCCTGAGGCTGTTAAGCCTAAAGCTATTGGGGCCAAGTCAGAGGGCAGAGCAGGAGCAAGTGGGTGTGCTGAGGGGGTGGTGCAGACTCCACTCGACTTTGTCCACTCTGTTCTCCGGTCCGGCCCCAGGCCCCACCGAGAACATCAAGGGGGAGTTAAAGTGGCCTTGTGGGGCAGCCCAGGGGAAGGGCTCCTGAGCCCACCAGGAGGGTCAGCACTGGGCCACTGTGGCAGGGCCCCTCAGTGCAGGTAAGGGACCAGGCATTGTCCAGCCTGGAAGGAAGAGGTTGCTGAGGAAACCTGAAGACACGGTCATCAGGTCCATACAAGGCCCAGACCTGAAGAGCCTGAGCCCCCATGAGCAGGGACAAGCTTCAGGGAGGGAAAGCCGCCATCTCAGCAGGGAAAGTGTCACCAAGGCCAGTTGTAGAACAGATTTCTCTGGACAGAAGTGCCACTGCCCAGGAGGCAGAATAATGGACCAAATGACTTCTCATGACCTTAAGCCTAAGATTCTAGAAGATTCTCTGACATTTCACCCAGAGACCTGCCCTCTGAGTGCAATTAGAATCACAACCCAGTCAAGAGAAAGGCAGGCTAAGCAAGTATATGCCTTAGGAAAACCTGAGTGGGGTCTTCAGCTCCAAAAAAATGACCCCTATGCCATGACCCATGCTTAGAAATGCAGCCATCTGAGTCTTGAAGAATTATCTTCTTGGTTAGCCAATAAAATTCAACTCCCCTGGAGTCAAATGTAAAGCCCTTAACAGATATCACCTTAGTTATCAGGTAACATCTTGACAAGAAATTCCACTAGACTATGTGCTCCTTGGGGTGGGAAGTGGACCTTGTTCATCCACGTGTCTGCAACACCTAGCACAGTGCCTGGCACACAACAGATGCTAAATATACGCTTAACCAGCAAAAGAATGAAAAAATGATCAGTGTGATTGGGCACTGAGGAGGGAGCCAAGTTGGGGGTGGGATGGAACATAAAAGAAGGGAAAGTGGATTTAATAGAGGAGATGGCCTGGTAAACCTCTATTTCAGTTTTCCCAAGAGCTAAGCGTAACTTATCAAGAACTATCAGGAAAAGTAAAACCTGATGGCCCCTTGGCCAGTGCAGCCCCAACACAAGCATTCATCCAATACAGCTGGAGGATGGTTACTCTGGGAAAACACACAGGGCATCCAGGAGTCAAAGTTCTGATCACTGAGGGACCACTAATTCCACCTCTCTTTCTCCATGTCCTGTCTTAAAACCCCTTCTCCAATCTACCTGCTGGAGCAATGTGTGGGAAGAAGAGCTTCTGACTGAGGTTGGCCTGGTGACCCAGTGCTGTCATTCTGTGAATGAGAATGCTAATTGGTGAGGACTCTGCAGGACCGCCAGGGCCCTGCCTCTGTTTAAGGCCACCTGATTTACAGGCCTCATTTCACCCAGACACACACATGTGTAAGGTCTCCACCGAGTGTCACACATAGAGCTACATTTTGAAATTAATAAACAGGTCAGACATTCAGTCAGTAGCCAGAAGTAGGACAGGAAGTGGAAAAAGTTTCCCACTTCCTTCCAGGTGTTTGGGGGCTTGGGACGGCCCCTTCCAATTTCCATGACGTCATGGTTGCTGAGAGGGGCAAATAGGGCACCCTTTGAAGCTCTCCCACAGAAGCCACATCCTCTGGAAAGAAGAGTTAAAAATATCGAGTTAGAGATACCATCGCCCTAGGCCACGTGCCTGGGGCCAGGCGGGCTGGGCCGTTATACCACCAACCGCAGGTGCAACAGGAAGGCCACCAAGCTGGGAGGGGCTGCCCACCCCATTGCAGAGAAGCCTCCTCCGCCCCACCTCTGCACCCTCCTCCTTCTGAACCAAGCCCTAAGATCAAACGTTGGTCTCACGTAATTAAACTCTTGCTTAATACAGGGCAGGCCTTCGAAACTTATGTCCAGCCCACCTTTCCCTAGGAGGTGTGGGGACCACATCTGCCCCACAAACACAGCGGGGACTGGTTCTCCGAGGAAGGCTCCTACTGCAGGTGAGGCTGGAATACTGGGTGATGGTCCTGACTGACGTCTGCTTCTCAGAGACCGGAAGACCAGGATTCAGGACACCGAGAGGCAAGGGGCCTAAAAGCTGAGACCAGAACCTGAGACCCGCAAAACTCCTGGCTTGGATCTCCTGCTCTGTGATAGTGTCCTCAGCCACCCACCTGGGGGCAGCAGCGCTCCATTGAAAAGGCCTCTTTTTCCCTTAGTCTGTTCATTCTGGGGTGGAAAGCCCCAAAGCTTAGGAAAACCTTTTTTCCGAGGAAAATAAAAAGGCAGGTGACTTTTATTCAGAAAGCTCCTACCCTTTGCCACTGCCCTGGGCTCCGGGTTCGTGTGAGCCTGTCACACACATCCCATGGAGAAGAGAAGGTCTGGGTCAGCCCCCGCAGGCAGCAGGGGGCACTATCTACCCAGGATCATCAGGCTCCCTGGTACAGACCTCTAGAAGGGAGCCCTGCCAGAGGGACTGGAGAAGCCCTGCTGCCTGAGGGAGCGAAGTCAGAATCAGGGAGCCTGCACTGGGGTCCAGCACCTACCACTTCCTAGCCTCATGCCCTGGGCAGGTTACTAACTGTCCACAGCCTCAGGTTCCCCGTGGAGCAAATACTCTCTCATACAGCAGTCTGAGAACCAAGGCTTTCTTCCATATCACACACCTGCCATGTGCCACACAGCGTGCCAGGCTCTGGGATGCAGTCTCTCTATGACTCCACCTATGAAATTCAAGAACAGGCAAAACTAATGGCCAGTAGAAATGGAAACAGTGGTTGCCTCTGGAGTAGGACTGACTGCCAAGGGGCAGGAGGCAAATGTCAGGGTGGTGGAAGGTTCTGTATCTTGCTCTGGGTGATGGTAACACGGGGTATGCACGTGTCAAAATGCACCTAAGATTTGTGCATTTTAGCGGAGCTAAACTATATCTCAATAAAATACTGTTCCTGTTAAACACACACACACAGTTCTGTCCTCAAGGAACTAACA